ATTTTTTGCAAATCGATTTGAAAATAGAAAAGTTATAGCAAATTTAGTAAATGACATTGGATTCAAGCAACGTATCGATACTGTACAGCACATTTGATTGTAAAATAAATTAAAATATCATTTCCATTGGCATGTTATGCATATCGCAATTAGAAAAACAGCTGACAATAGGTTTGTTTCATTAAGCAATAGTTTGAAATATTTTTTAACAATTGTCACAAATTATCATGCCTTGGCTAGCAAAAAAGTTGATAAAATAAGATAAATTGAGATAGAAAAATAACATTTGATTTTTAGATAAAGTTTGGAAGTTTCTGCGGGATACATTTATACTTGTAAAACTGAAACAACGGTACTTATTGAATGTATTATGTATTTATATTATGATCCTTATTTTCAAGTAATACTACGCTCAAAAGAATGTCTAGTAACCGCTTGAAAAGCTCATCTGGTCAACCTAGTGCCCAGTAGCCAAATTCAATATAATGAGGCCAAATTTGATAAGAAAATAATATTTCAGAAAAAGCTTGTAAAAAATAAAACTGTGCCCACAAATTAAAAAATTAGACTTTTTTCGAAAGTATTCCTGTTTTTTAGATTTGCCCATATAATAAAATGATGCGCAATATACTAGATTTTGGTATCCGCAATATACAAATTTCGGCTCTGGACTTCGTACTTTCAGACTGGCCTACCCAGCACGATATCCACCGCAAAAACTGCAATAAATATACATATACTATAAGTAAAAAAATAAAACTTCTAAGCATTGCCGCAGAAATTTTAAATACAATGACAGTTTGTAAGATTTGAAAATTTATTGTTATTTGCTAAAGAAATATTGAATTGGATGCCGTACCCTTAACAGTAAAATGTGTTTCTTTTACATAACTTCCAAATACGTAAGCTATCCATTGTTTAAATAAGGATGTTTTACTAAAAATTACAAAATGCTGCCCCACCCGTCACTAGTTAAAATATTTGTTTGTCAAATATAGTAACGCCATCAAAGCATAAAATGGATCCTTATCATTATATTAACTACGTTCGAGAAAGCCGCTATGCACGAAATATTTAGATACAGTTTTATCTTAAATTTGAAACGAATCCATAAACTCAGAGAATTCAGAAAGGGAGGGTCGTCGCTGTCTCACCCGTCACTCTTGGGAAAATGAAAATTTCTGTGTAAATTATATAACTAAGTTATATACATACGTTATTAAATAGTTTCGTGGTAAACTGATATCTGACTTCAGGTGTTAACAGTTTGAAACTGGTAAAAGAGAAATTACTTAAATTTTTAACAAAAGCCAGTTAAAATGTCACTGCCGTCACGTTGGAATGCCCCATATGTACATATATGTTTGTATTGAGTTGGCAACACTGCTCTTGACACTTCGTAGGACATCGCCATATTAAAATAGACAGGTGAAATCATTGATTTGGTATAGATAAAGAACCAGTACCGTACCTTTTCGGGCTAGTTCGGCGCGAGTTCTGAACCAGTTTTATTTGCTGCATGGCAAGTAAGATGAAGCATACATACATACATATGTATGTGTGTATGTATATATTTTGTAATCCCAATTAATTCTCTAACGAATATGGTGGAGTTTGGAGAGAACCTTTAAAACCTCCCCGCCACCTTCAAGAGATAAGAAGGAAACAACAAAAAAGAAAGCGGAAATGTATAAAACCAGCTGTTGGATTTATTCCTTTTACCATTTCATCATTGATGTAAGCTTTCAACGCATTCCAACACCACTTTGCGTACTCTGAACTGAAAATGCATCACTCTCTAGTAGGGATTCCTCAATCTCAATGGCCCGATTTGCGACATCGTTATGAAGAACAGAAAAAGTTGTCATGCGGTTATAACACAATACAATGTTTTATTGAATGGAAGGCGCAAAATAGGGACGTGGATATAAATATATTCTCACTGAACGGAGAATGGCGAAACGATGGTACTTATGTGGGAATTGTAAGTGAACTTAACTTGGATTAACTTGTAAAATGTTGGCATAGAAAAAACTCAGGGCACTAATGTTGCTTAAACCCAGGAGACCCAGTCTAATTTTTTTTTGAAATATTTTTTCACAACTTCTAGATTAATGCAGTATCAATCAGTTATGTATTCATCAATACACTCATCGATGATCAGCAGAGGCTTTATACTGCGCTCAGTGCGCTGAAGCTCAATAAACCGTATATGATACTTGGCTATCATGAACGTTTGATGCCCACTGTGGAACAACATTTTGTGGATAAGGGTTTCAAAATAGAGGATTTCAAACCACATGGAGTTGCCTGGCATCACATCGAGAAAGCAAAAGCGGAACAATTCGTGGTGGAGTAAGAGCGCTAATAGATATGTTAAAAAGCTATTATTGAAAAATTATCTCTTTTTTTTTTTTGATTTTCTTAGAACACCGGCAGGTTTTACCCTGCGTCGCCTGGAGAAAACAAATGCAGAATTAGTGAATAGCCTTTGGCCACATCGCGAACCAGGTTCGGTGGCACTTGTGGAGCTGCTCATTACCTACAATGATAGCGTTGGAGTGTTTGATAACGCTGGAAACTTAGTGGCTTGGTGTTTGATGTGCGTAAAGGCTTTTAAAAGGACAAGAAAATATTGCAAATGCCTAGAATATGTCAAATAATTATAATAGATATCTTTATCTTCCAGCTTGCCGATGGGTGCTTTGGGTCTCTTGCAAGTGTTGGATACGCATAAATGCATGGGTTTTGGTAATCTTGCTGTTCGTCATATGTCAAAATTGGTTTCCGCTAAAGGCTTAGAAGTTATGGCACCGGTAGTATTCCAGAATGTGGCTTCACGTTCGCTTTTTAAAAAGTTAGGGTTTAAGCCAATAGGAAATGCATATTTTGTAGTGATACCGATCGGCAGTTAAACTAAAGTGATTATGCTGTAAAATATTTACATATCGTCACCAGAAATGCATAAGGACATAACAAAAATCGTCACTGAAATGGAAAAAATCGTGATTAATATTTTCTTTTTTCATAAAACGATGTGGGGAGTTGCAATTCGATAAAATCCATCATATCAATCAAAAAGTGTATTTCGAATTTTTTATGAGCTACGTCTTTTTGCATTTAGGTGACGTTATGTTTTGTAAAGTAAATGGATGTGCCAATAAAAATTTGTAAATTTGAGCTTGTTTTAATTCAACAAGTACTTACATATCTTGATTGCGTTAACACAATAAAAATGTTTATTATTTTTAGTATTTATTTGTTTACAATTATAAGCTTAGGCACCACAGCACCGCAATGACAACGCTTGCGTGTGAGTTTGTCTGCTTTACTAAAG